GGGGGGATGCTCCATGCCCCTTGGGTAGGGATCCCCCAGGGTGGTTTTCAGGGGAGTGTTGAAATCGACATGCCCCTGGCCTAAAGCAAGCGGGGGGGTGGAGGCTAGTCCCTGGGCAACATCTGTTCCACACTCAAAATATTAACAAGCCCCAGTAGTTCCTTAGTGTACTTATTATTTTCCAGAATTTAAGCTGAAAAAAGTGTTCCCTGCCAGCTCAAAATCAGTCATCCCAGAAAACTTGAGGTCCCTGGGCAACATCTGTTCCACACTCAAAATATTAACAAGCCCCAGTAGTTCCTTAGTGTACTTATTATTTTCCAGAATTTAAGCTGAAAAAAGTGTTCCCTGCCAGCTCAAAATCAGTCATCCCAGAAAACTTGAGCCTGTGCTGTATACTTTCTCAACTTTTAAATTAATAAAGTAAAGGGTTCATAATATAATATTTGGGACTTGCGCAATGTATACCCATTTAGTGCATGTTAAACTTCTTTGCCTTACGTGCTTACAGGTATTATTACAAAGTTAACCATGTTGTGGCATTTACTTTATCAGCTTTTCATGATGTAATGAATTTATTTTTTGAAGGGGAAGAGATCTCTTTGGCAGACTTGCAGCATCTTTGAGGAATGATGTTTCCTATGATAAAGGGATGATTTGCTATATATGGATGCTAACATTAGTCATGTTCTTCCATCACTGTGCTGCAGTAACATCCATGTATTTGAGGCTTAACACTTCATGTAATTTTAAAACAGTTGATGTTAGCTAGCTAGTATCAAATGGGAAGAATTTTAAGACTTGTCAGATCAGAGATATTAATAAAGTTGTCTTCAGCTTTTTGATGGCAGTGCCTGAAACCTAAGTGTGAATGTTCCTTGATTCTGATCAAACTGAAGTCTTTTGTGATGTCTTCATTTTCTTCCCCATGCCTGTGCATCTGAGAGAGAATGGAAACCGCTTTCATAACACCTTGACTATGGAGCTTCAAGTGTCTGCTGAAGATCTTGCTTGGAAGTTTCAGAAGGGTAGCCGTAGAGCCATGTCTCAGAGGGGTAGCCGGGTTAATCTGTATCTACAAAAACAGGAGTCCTGTTGCACCTCGTTGTTTTTGCTTGGGAGTGACTGTGCCAGAAAAGCACCCCTGTATTCACGCTCCACGGACAATTGTAATAATTTTTGTACACCATATACCTTTTTAATGTGTCATTAGAGAGCTAGTTAATTCGTTGGTCAGTAATGTCCTGGTGAAATGTATGTGGCAACAATATAAGTAAAGTTATAAATATACGCTAAATTCATGACCTATGTGTGTTTACCATAAAGTTTGGGGAGTGGGTAAACCTGTTTCTCAGAGACAGAGGACAAAGCTGGTGTCATTTATCAAATGGCCCTTCTTTGTCAAGAAAGAGGGACATGAACAGACAGATTTGCCTCTTAGCAAACAACATTAGGGAACATCTTTCATCACCAGGTTTCTTGATTGCAAACTCACAGTGTATTCAGGGAGTAATCCTCAGGAAAATGCTTTTCAAAGGTTGGTTGAACTGTAAAGATGAGGGGCAAAACCACTCCAGTTTATCTTTTCCTATCCATCTCTCTCCTTTCTACCCAAACCACAAAAGAAACAGTCCTTGGATGTTGGGAGCAGATGTTGGTCTGCTAATTTGCTCAGCAGTGTTGCTGGAAGCATATGGTAAGGGTCTTCAACTTGAACCAAGTATAATTTGTTAAGCTTAGTAGTAGTAAGCATTTTGTTCTAGCTAGAGACATAAAGGGTAACAAGAAGATATTCTACATATATATTAGAAGCAAGAGGAAGTCAAAGGACAGGGTAGGCCCATTGCTCAGGGTACGTCTAGACTACATGCCTCTGTCGCCAGAGGCATGTAGATTAGGCTACCAGGCATAGGAAAATGAAGCGGCGATTTAAATAATCGCCGCTTCGTTTAAATTTACATGGCTGCCGCGCTGAGTCGATCAGCTGTTTGTCAGCTCAGCGCGGTAGTCTGGACGCATGGGTGTCAACATCAAAGGCATGTGTCATACCTTTGATGTCGACACCCGCGCGTCCAGACTACCGCGCTGAGCCGACAAACAGCTGATAAACGAAGCGGCGATTATTTAAATCGCCGCTTCATTTTCCTATGCCTGGTAGCCTAATCTACATGCCTCTGGCGACAGAGGCATGTAGTCTAGACGTACCCTCAGTATAGAGGGAGAAACAATAACAGGAACCTTTGAAATGGCAAAGGTGCTTGATGACTTTTGTGTCAGTTTTCACCAGGAAGCTGGATGGTGACAGGATGCCTAACATAGTGAATGCTAGTGGAAATGGGGTAGGTTTAGAAGTTAAAATGAAAAAAGAACAAGTTAAAAATTACTTAGAAAAGTTAAATGTCTTCAAGTTACCAGGGCCTGATGAAATACCTCCTCTATCAGCGTCTTGAGTATTCTAGGATGCATCTGAGCCTTTAGCTATCATCTCTGAAAAATCATGGGAGAGATTCCAGAAGACTGGAAAAGGGCAAGTCTAGTGCCCATCTATAAAAAGGGAAATAAGAACAACCCAGGCAACTACAGACCAGTCAGTTTAACTTCTGTGCTAGGGAAGATAATGAAGCAAGTAATTAAGGAATTCATCTGCAAACATCTGGAAGATAATAAGGTCATAGGTAACAGTCATCATAGATTTGTAAAGAATAAATCATGTCACATCAATCTGATAGCTTTCTTTGATAGGCTAACAAGTCTTCTGGATAAGAGAAGGCAGTGGACGTGGTATACCTAGGCTGTGTCTACATTGGCGTGATCTTGCTGCCTGTCTACACTGGCCGCGAGTTCTTACACAAGTACACTGACGTTCTAATGTATGAAATCAGTGCTTCTTGCGCAAGAACTCTGATGCTCCTGCTCAGGAATAAGCCCTCTTGCGCAATTGTTCTTGCGCAAGAGGCCAGTGTAAACAGGCAACATGAATTTCTTGCGCAAGAAAGCCCTATGGTTAAAATGGCCATCAGAGCTTTCTTGCGCAAGAGAGCGTCTACACTGGCATGGATGCTCTTGCGCAAAAGCACATCTCTTGCGCAAACGGACATGCCAGTGTAGATGCTCTCTTCTGGAAGAGTTTTTGCACAAGATCAGGCCAATGTATACATAGCCCTAGACTTTAGCAAGGAATTTGACACAATCTCACATGACCTTGTTATCAATAAACTAGGGAAATACAACCTAGATGGTGCTATTATAAGGTGAGTGCATAACTGCCTGGATAACTGTTTTCAGAGAGTAGTTCTCAATCATGCTGGAAGGGCATAGCAAGTGGGGTTGTTCAGGAGTCTGTTTTAGGACTGGTTCTGTTCAATATTTTCATCAACAATTTAGATGATGGCATAGAGTACATTTATTAAGTTTGCAGATACCACGAAGCTGGGAGGGGTTGCAAGTGCTTTGGAAGATAGGGTCAACATTCAAAATGATCTGGCCAAACTAGAGAAATGGTCCGAAGTGTATAGGATGAAGTTTAATAAGGACAAATGCAAATATTCCACTTAGGAAGGAACAATCAGTTTCACACACACAGAATGGGAAGTGATTGTCTAGGAAGGAGTACTGCTGAAAGGGAGTTAGGGGTTATAGTGGACCACAAGCTAAATATGAGTTAAAAAAAACCCAAACATGATTCTGGGATGCATTACCAGGAGTGTTGTGAGCAAGACACAAGAAGTCATTCTTCCGGTTTACTCTGCGCTGATTAGGCCTCAGTTGGAGTATTGTGTCCACTTCTGGGCACCATGTTTCAAGAAAGTTGTGGAGAAATTAGAGATGGTCCAGAGAAGAACAACAAAAATTATTAAAGGTCTAGAACAGTGTTTCTCAACCTTTTTTTATAAAGTACCCCTTTAAAAAAAAAAAAAAGTACCCCCAATACCTACAGTTTTCAGACACAACATTTTTTTTTCTACCATTGCAACACATTTGTTTAAACAACTTAATCGTAGCTGGGCTGGCGATGAAATTTTTGGGTGTAAAAAGTACAAAAATAATAAAGCGCTATAAAACTTAAAACAAAAATTCAGTTTTCTCCAAATGTCAGTTGTGTTGACATTACCCCCCCCCCCCCAGACTCCTCTCAGGTACCCCTAAGGGTACTTGTACCACTGGTTGAGAAACACTGGTCTTGTTACCCCCCCCCCCCCCCCCCCCAGACTCCTCTCAGGTACCCCTAAGGGTACTTGTACCACTGGTTGAGAAACACTGGTCTAAAAAACATGACCTATGAGGGAAGACTGAAAGAACTGGGCTTGTTTAGTTTAGAAAAGAGAAGACAGAGAAGGGACATGATAGCGGTTTTCAAGTATCTAAAAGGGTGTTACAAGGAGGAGGGAGGAAATTGTCCTCTGTGGCTTCTGATGATAGGACAAGAAGCAACGGGCTTAAATTGCAGCAAGGGATGTTTAGGTTGGACATTAGGGAAAAAACTTCCTACCTGTCCGGGGTAGTTAAACACTGGAATAAATTGCCTAGGGAGGATGTGGAATCTCCATCACTGAAGATATTTAAGAGTAGGTTGGATAGACATCTAGGTTGGGCTTGATCCTGCCGTGAGGGCAGGGGACTGGACTTGATCTCTCAAGGTCCCTTCCAGTTCTAGCATTCTGCGATTCTTGCAACTATTTCTGACTTTAGTGTCTAATACTTACTTAGAACCTATCTCCTTGTAAGTAAGGAAACTTGTTTTATTTTTCCCCTTTAATCTAGAATTGTGAATTATATGGAGCTATACCTATCTCATAGAGCTGGGAGGAACCTTGAGAGGTCATTGAGTCCAGGCCCCTGCCCTCATGGCAGGACCAAATACCATCCCTGACAGACTTGCCCCAGATCTCTAAATGGTCCCCTCAAGGATTGCACTCACAGCCCTGGGTTTAGTAGGCCAATGCTCAAACCACTGAGCTATCCCTCCCCTGTTTGGGTAGCTTCATTTAAGTTTGCAAACTGTTGTATATTGATCTCTTTAACAGGCCTAATATACCAGGAGAGGCCTGGACAATGCAGAACACTTTTTTTTTTTTTTTTTTGAAGGGTTGGAGGAGAAATCCAGGACTGGGCGTTTGTTGAGGTCACCTTGCAAGTAGTAGCCAAGGCTGCTGAAAGGCAGCATGTGGCTTGGTGTTTGTTGACAGACTGCTTGGGTAAGAGTTGCTGGACCAAGGCCATGGCTGTACACAGACACTCAGTGTGCAGCCTGCCACTGTTCGTGAAGAGTCCAGGTTGGGAGCTACAGCAGCAAAGCATTCTGAGGCACTCCGGGTTGCCGGGTGGAAGTGACAGTACCTCGCTGGCTTGAATTGCTCCCCAGAATGTAATAACGATAAAGAGTGTTTCCAACTTGTGTTAATGGGCATTTTTTTATGCAGTGGGTTTTGGATCAGGCTTGTGATGAACAAAGACCTATGATTGGATCTGTAAGGTGGGAGCAGTAAAATTATCCTGGGGGAAAGTAAGCTTAGTGTGAGGTTGCTGACTGACTGTGCAGAAGACTGAATTATTTTATGGTAGGTATACCGAGCAAGTAGTGAAAATGTAAGTTTCCCTCATCACTGCTAATATGCCTCAGCGCTGATGTGGAGGGACATGTGTAATGTGAGGAAGAGTTTGAACTTTATGGTTCATTCATTCTAGGGATGTAAGTGACTTGTCGACTACCCAATACGCAAATGCTTATCGGGTAGTCAAGTAGGAATTCAACTAGTCCCTCCCTCTCCCCCTTGCTATTGCTATCAGGGAGAGGCAACAAGTGGGGGGAGCATGAGCCGGTGCTGGGGGTAGTTGGCTTAAAAGCCAGTTCCCCCCAGCACCGTCTCCGCGGCGGACAGGGGAAGCAGAGGGCAGCGGGGAAATGGCGTGAGAGATAAGATAATCCATTCAAGGATAATCCATTCAAATTTGCTCCAAGTTGAAACTAGACAAATTGAATGTCTTCACTATTGGGAAGATTGACGCTGCGGCAGTCAATCTTCCAGAGTTTGATTTAGTGGGTCTAGTAAAGACCCACTAAATCAAACACTGAGAGCTGGTAGGCCTCAATTCATGAGGAGTAAGGAAAGTTAATGGAAACATTTGCTCCTGTCGACTTTCTGCTGTAGAGACAATGCTGAAGGTTGTC